ATTCAAACTCCTCCATACATCAACGGACAACACGGAGGCAGGGGAAGGCCCAGCTACATAAACTCAGGTGACACCCAGGCTATGCTAGCTTCACTCAAACTCATGAGAAAAAAATGAAAAAAAATTTATGACAGACTGGCAATCTCGAGTTGGTCACCACAGCCCTCACAAGGCTGGGCCTCACGCTACTGTACAACCAGCACCAACCGAAACTCTGTTACCTGGTACAATCAATTCTTATGAAACACAAGATGTTAAACCTGCACGTATGATCCCAGCACATTGGGGAAGCAAGGCATATATATGTATGATGATGTATCTGTGATGGTCAGATCCAGGGATTCCAGGTAAATCGGGAACTGACCATCCCTTGGTTGGGTTGGCATTTGGAATATGTGGAGATGTTTATTTGTGCAGGTACCCATACAGAAGGGATTTTGTCCCAAACAAATGGACGAGCACTCTCAGGCTCCAGGTACCAGCACCTCTGAACTACCAGAGACCACTGATATGAGTAGTTGCATTGCATACAGACTGTTGCATATATGTTCAAATAGTTCAGGGCACATGACAAACCATGTGTCCCAATACAACTTACAAATAACGTATTCACCATCTGTACACACCAATGCATTTTCAACACTACTGACTCATCACCCTTCCAGACTTGTAGTAGATTTACTAAAGCTCTGGAGCTTCAAAGGGCTCCCATACAGGTATCATAAACACAACTTCAAGGAATATAGCATGCCCTCACTTACAGTCAGCACAACAAAACCATTGGCTGTAAACACACTCATAGCCAAGATTTGCAGAGGGGTCTTCCAATCTCCACCATTTACAGCATACACACACATTGGTATTGTCACAAGGAATCTTCCCTTAAACAAAGACTAACCATAGACTTATTGGCACCACACACCTCCGCTACCCCAAGTCTCAACTCCCTCATACCCTCCGAGGATTTTTCTTACTATACAACACCATTGATCTACCTTTACAGCTATCACTCAAGCATGGGTTGAAGCTTGGTTAAGTAAGACCAATATCATCAACGCAGTAAACGGCTACCATCTACCCTACACACTGGCACTTACATGGCATAAATTGGGCAATCCTTTCCCCGCTCAACTTTCGAGCTACAGATTAGCCTACTATCGATATTCGCAGATACTCTGTGCTGGTTATGATAACATATCCAGAGGCCTTACAGTCATACACTATCTAGAAGACTTCTTGTTAATCAAAGAAAGCATATTTTTCACTAGAAGCCTCACGGCAGCTTAGTCTGGTTGACCACTTGGGCGTCCCAGTACCCCATAAGAAACAGAAGGCCCAGACACTATCTTCACATTACTGTGCATATGACTTGAGTCTGCATCCATACACGCAAGTTACCACAAGACAAATAGGGAACATTCTCAACTACATCAATCACTACCTCCTGCTTAGTACTTACAACTGCAAGGAACTACGATCCCTACCAGGTTCCTTAATTTTGCCATGCCAATCATACCACAAGACCATGCTTTCACATCCAGAGTACTTTCCCCTTTTTTCCCACACTTCCAACATGACGATCAGAGGATGTCCCTAGACACCTCAGCAACAGCAGACTTGCAAATGGGGGGAAATTTTTTAACCACTTGGCATGGTAAAAGCATGTTCCTTCCAGGATTGTCTGACACTTTTCCAACCAGATGGTCAGACGCAGCGTCTACCACGGGTTTGGCAGCGATCTACCGGGAACAATTGCTTTGGAGCTGTTGGCGATGGCATCCAGGTTTGGAAATTTTTCCACCACCTCAGCCCCTTTGGGAGATCTACCCCATTGTAGCAGCTGCTGAGGCATGGGGTAAATCATGGTCAGGGTCATCAATCCGTTGTTACTCAGGCAACTAAGCATATGTCATATCATCAACAAACACCACTACTCATCCATAAGGTCATGATATTTCTGGGGAACTCACTTGGTTGGCCACTTATCACATTTCACTTTCATGTACCAGACGGGGGTATACATCCCTGCCGACAACTGTCTCATTTATATTCCAGGCATGTTCATCATACGCTTCCTACAGCCGCCCATACAGTCACGGCCACTCTTTCGTTCCAGAGACAAAATCATGGATTAGACATACTCATGCAGCATAGCATGCACTATCCCACCTAGCACTTTCGTCCCATACTTGTAGAACACATAACACAGCTTTTCACCTGGCTTAAAGAATCTCATTGGCACACGACATAGCTCAACCTGTGTCATAACATTTCTCCTAGGTTTTGCTTCTTTTTGCCACCTTAAACTTAAACTATCTCACATACCATTAATTATATATTTTACAGGCATTCAACAACACAGGATAACCTATGGCCAAAACTACCATAACTTCATGCTATCATACCAGACAAGAATATACTCAGAGGTTTTCAGGAATCCATTCCCCCACGTTCCTCTCAGAGATTACCAATAGCCATCCAACTTTTCATCATTATCGGACCTATTAGATCTACAACCATTCAATTACACTACCAAGTCGGCCATTACCAGCTATGCACATTGCCTTTTATGCCTTTCTCAGGCCAGAGAATCCACTACCATCACCACCACTCAGAAAGATCATTGTCTTCAACGATCCCACGTACGTAAACACATATATCATTACCTATTGGCTCTATCACATTCCGAAACGAGTCAACACGCACCAACAGTAGAGATAACATACTATCCTACCCACAACAAATGGTGTCCACTTTCGGTCCTAGATTCCTACCTTCAAAATCCTTTCAGGAATTAAATACTGTAATGCTTTTAAGGAAATGTCTGGTTAATTTGTATATATTTGTTGACTGTATTAAATCTTTGATTATTCATTTTTGCCCTCTTTATTTACAGGCCTACCGTATTGTCGGTATCGGCACACCACAACCGACTTGCTCCCTTTATACTATCCTACGCTTATGCTGGATGCTTACTACATATATGGCTATTTGCCCCTTACACAAGTATTAAGGCCGTTTGGCCTGTGTTTGTGGGAGGGGCTTAAATTAATTCACTCCCCTATATAAGGGACACCCCTTACCTGACTCATATCGCTTGAGGTCAGCATCAGAATGACCCTCCCACCCACTCCTCATTTCAACACTTTCTCTTTTCTTTCCATTTACTTTACTTTCTTACTCCTTGGTGGGCCCTCTTTATTTACAGGCCTACCGTATCGTCGGTATCGGCACACCACAACCGACTTGCTCCCCCTTTATACTATCCTACGCTTATGCTGGATCCTTACTACATATACGGCTATTTGCCCCTTACACAAATATAAGGCCAAAATAGCCAAATGGAAACACACATATATATATATATATATATATATATGTGTGTGTGTGTATAGGTGTGTTTCCATTTGGCTATTTTGGCCTTATATTTGAAATTCAACAGTGGGTGGATTCTAGCTATTCTTGCGTCACATCCCAAAACTCTCGTGATCTGTGGACAACACCAAGCAGTGCAGCAAGTCAGCTCCCTCCTTCTCCAACGTTAAACAGTTTTAGGAGGCTGACAGTCTCATTCTATATTGAGCATCGGGTGCTAGCTATGCATATAGTGCTATCCACAAGTGAATCTCTTGGAATAGGGTCTGATTTCCTATTTTAAGGGAGTATTAGTATGTATGCTAGCTGTATCATTCCAAGAGCATAATAGCCTCTTGATAAGGGTCCTTATTTATCTGCATATGTTATCCTACACTAAAAAAGTAAGAAAATGTGTCATGAAAATTCTAAGCCAGAGTCACCACTGATTTACTTAAGCAATAAGTCCAGTTATATAGATGTAAGTCTCCCAGATTTTACCTAGATTGCCCCTTCTTGTTGGGGTTAAACCTCTGGTGCATTTTGTGCGACACAAAAAAGACTAAGAAGGCATATAACTGGTTAATACTATGTGAATGTTAAGTTCTAAAATCTGTGCTTTTTTTCCCCTTGTGTAAGTTTAATGTTATCTGTACAGCCTGCCACTTTGATTCAGTTAGTGCTGCTGAGATATTATGGTACCAGAGCTAAGGGTAATTTAATTCTCATCAGCCACAATATTAAAACCACCTTGTGCTGCCAAAACAGTTCTGATGGATTGAGACATGTCTGTGTATTAATCTGTCCTGTGGTATCTGGCACCATGACAATAGCAGCATAACCTTTAGGTCCTACAAATTGATCAGATTTGTTGTTCCAGCACATCCCACAGATGCTCAATTGGATTGGTACCTGGGGAATTTGGAGGCCAAGGCAACACCTTGAACATTTTCACATGTTTCTTAAACCACTGCTCCGTGCCCCAGTTCTGATGCTAACATTTCAATGCAGTGGACAGGGGTCATCAGGGCCACTGACCAGTCGGTGGCTATGCAGTTCCTATATGCACCAAACCGTGAAGCACAACTGTGAATGGCCAGCATTAAGCTTTTCAGCAATTTGAACTACAATAGCTTTTTTGTGTTATCAGACCAGACAAGCTAGTCTTTGTTTCCCATGTGCATCATTGAGCACCCATGACCCTGACTACAATTCATTGGTTGTCCTTACTTGCACTAATTTTGGTAGGTACTAACTACAGCTTACCAGGAACACCCCAAAAGACTTGCCAAATATTTTTGCTTGCCTGGTTTTCCTGCTTCCAGCACATAAAATTCAAGACCTGACTGATTACTTGCTGCCTAATATATCACACCCTTGACAGGTGCCATGGGAACAATAAAATCAATGTTCTTCACTCCACTTGGTTTTAATGTTGTGACTGATCAGTGTAGGTGGTTAAGTTTAATCTTCCAATTGTGTTTTTTGTATAAAAAGGTCAATAAAACACGCATAGCTCTTCCCTTCACTAAGTTTTGCCTAATGTTGGGAGAGCTGCAAAAGAGCAATTATACACTCTCTCAAGTGACTGGCTGAGGGTTGAGGAAGAAAAAAAGCTGGAAGAAACATAACTCCTCGCTATTGCATCACAGAACCCTTGCTGACAGGGAGAAGGGATGAATGCTGTGGCAGATTCGACGCTGGACCTTAAGCCTAAGACCAGTATCACTAAAAAAAAAAAAAAAAAATATGTATATTTCAGCCACACTTGGTCAATTTCATCACTAAAAGTGTCTGGCAACAAGTTGCTCTTATGACAACAATTATTTATAATGTGAATGTGTTTTAGACTAGCGTAAAATGAAACACTATTAAAAGTTACCAACGGGAAATTATTGGCTGTAGAATGAATACTACTATCTAGTTTAATGACAATATTGATAAGAAGGAATATCAAGTGCTTACTATTCTTTTGAAATCTCCAGATCTTTAGTATGGCTCTGCAGAGCTGCCTCCATGTGCCCCAGATCCATTTGAGCATTTCCAATGCAGCTGTACAGGTTCCCTATCACTTCCTGTTTGTTGGGAATATCTTCTGCTTTCCAACTCTGTATGTTCTTTAATGCTTTTTGGGCCTTCTTGAGGCTGCCTTCGGGGTTTCCATTAAAGAGGCCTAGAGAAAGAAAGATACATTCATTTGATGATTCTCATTAGTCACTGCTAGAGCATATAAAAATAGTCAAGATTGATTATAATAATCTTTTACATATCGCCAACAGATTCCGTAGCGCTTTACAATATTATAAGAGGGGAAGATTTAACTACAAATAGGACAATTACAAAAAACTTACAGGAACGATAGGTTGAAGAGGACCATGCTCAAACAAGCTTACAGTCTATATGCCTTGCATTAGAGACACCTGTCTCTCACCATACCATAAATAATGTCATATTGTCAGCTCAGCTGCTGTACCTCAGAATATAAGAAGTAGCTACCATAATTAAGCCACAGTTTAGAACCATGTGCCTTTTATATGGCTTTGTATAAAGACTGCCTGGCAGATATTACATACACTGATCAATTTCTTCCAAGCTTTTCAGAATGTATTGGTTGGGGTCAGATGGCTTATTTTTCTCCCGGTTCCACTTCTGCTGCATGATCTTTCGGTCTCTCTCTCGGGCATAAATAGGCTTTTGCTGCCTCCAAAAATCTGTGCGAGTGTCTAAATAGTTTATACCATTTAAGATCAAGTTTTGAAGCTTTATCCCACTACGAGCATTTCCTTTCACAAGATCTGTAAATAGAAATATAATAACACTTTGTGATTATGTAAGGTAGTGCAGATCTGTTTGTACAGAGAGCAAAATACATATTTTGATAGGGATAAGAAGCGCATGCACAAATGATATAAAGAAAACAAAAAAACACAAACCCCTATATTAGGTGAATGCATGTGTTTCCTGAAAATATCAAGCAGGGGGTAACCCTAAATAAACACAGAGTAAATAGAAGATGTGATCTAGGGACAAACAGCCCCCAGAGCACTCAAAGGATATCTCAGAGTCTAGATTGAACTAAATATAAAAACATACTTTATTGAAATAGAAAACTACACAGAAAAAATAATAAACAAAATACTAATCACTTTCAAAATAATAAAGTGAACCTCCTAGATGGGAGCTAATAAGCTCAAAAAAATCTTATAAAAATACAGGCTAGAAAAGATATGAAATAGAGTAAACAGGTATCCAATAGAGATGGATTTGTGATCTGCACCAAGTCCCATCTAGTTACCTAAGACCAAATTTATGTATCAGAGTGTCTTTTGATACTAAATTAGACACTATAAATGATATAATAATATTCAATAAATGTAGTTATACTTCTTCCTAGGCTCCTTGGAAAAGTTTAGTTAGCAATTTGGCTTTGCAAAATGTAAAGTTAACATTTTTATAAGCTCATATGCACTCATGGTAAAATGTTTGCAAGTAGAGGAGGCTCTTTTCACGGTAGATTTATATTTGATTGCATTGTAGAGATACCAGCTTAATCCTCAGAAGACCACTAAAGTCTCCCAGACCACTTCATCCCAAACATAGAAAACTTGATTTTGATGGCAGATAAGAACCATTCAGCCCATCTAGTCTGCCCAATTTTCTAAATACTTACATTAGTCCCTGGCCGTGTCTTAGATCTAGGATAGACTTATGCCTATGCTCAAACACCCACACGGTGTTAACCTCTACCACATCAACTGGAAGGCTATTCCATGCATCCACTACCCTCTCAGTAAAGTAATAATTCTTGTAGTGCAATTAGGTTCAAACATGCACAAGGTACCATAACAAGTTTAATAGTGATATTGTATACATGGCTGAGTGTTTTCGTGACACATAGAAGTTGCAACATTTTTACGAAACCAAAAACAAGAAACAGGTTAGATAATCACGTCTTCCAGGCTGTCCTCCAGTTCCAGCCCTGCTCTTCTCTGCTCAAGCTTGCTAGACGCTCCTTTGGCACTGCGAGAACAAGGGAAGGGAGAGTGGCTGGCCTGCTCTGCAGACAGAGAGCCACTCTGCACACTGCAGCGCCACTGCCGGATATGACTTCACACGCTGTATGCGCATATCCGGCGGGCATGTTGAACTAATGATTAGAGTATGCTGGGGCACACAATCGGCCGTGGCAGGGCAGACAGGAAACAGACATGAAAGATCTTTTCTGTCTTTTAGATGGTCGCAACCACAGCACAAAGCGGCCCCAGGGCAGACTTTCCGCAAAGATAGTCATGGTGGGCCACAAGTCTGACATGCTTGCTTTAGACAGCTGAAATAGAACCTCTTCCTCTGTAAAATCACATGTAACAAGTCATTTTTTTTTCCTATTTTCAGTCCCTTTCCTTCATTTTCATCTGTAAATACTGAACAAAAATATTCATAAAGGCAGTCAGCTATACCTTTATCCTCTTCTACATACCTTCCTTCTTTTGTTTTTAGTCTAACTAATCCTTTATGTATCTAAAAAATGTTTTATCACCTTTTTTACTGACTGGGCTATTTTATCTTCTGTGTGTGCTTTGGTAGTTTTTATAACTTGCTTAGCCTCTTTCTGCCTAATCTTATAGATCTATCTTCTTTACACTTTTTTTTTTTTAATAATTACTTAATGCTAACTTAGTTTTTTTATTATTTTGACCACTTCTATGGAGTACCACATTGGTTTCTTCACTTTTTTTGCTCTTACTGACAAGCCTAATGCAATTTTAAGTCAGTTTTTAGCAGATAAGACTATAAATAAATACACTAATACATGTAAACCACAGATCGCAACAAATAAAATAATGAAACTAGCCAAACACTATATAAAAAAAATCATAATACACAAGGGCAAAAGTGTTTAAAACAATGTGTTACATTGTTCTATACACTTCTCTGGCTCATCCCTCGATCCCTTCAAGAACATATATAGAACGCCTGGTATAATGGAAAAGAAAAGAAAAAAATAAGGAATCATATCCTTTTAAAGTGTATGCATTGTTATGCCCAACATGTATGTAAATTTTAGCTTATAAGGGAATGGAATATGGATTCAATATAATGTATCAGCAAGAGTAGTCAGATAAAACAAAATAAAAAAAAAAAGATTTGGCAAAGAAAGGCAGATTTTTATAGTACACAAGGAGGGACCAAGGATATATGCAATTCTTGTCCAACTTGCACTGCCAAGCTCAAAATGTACTCCCTGCCACTCGGTACCCTTGCTAGTACCTATGGCTAAACCTAATCAAGAAAGTGTCTTGTGCAAGATCATTAAGCCATTCCATGTGGTGCGTCACAGTTGACGTATCTGTTATTAGATTTAAAAGTTTACTATGATTATGATAATGATAAACATATAACAACCTTCATCCTTCAGAAGCGCCTCCAGATATTCTTTATCGTTGTACAACTCTCCAAGCAATTGACGGGTCGTCTTCTGACTCCTTAAGGGGTCTACCTTTTTCTGTTGCTTTGTGTCCTTCTTGGGGACTTTAACCGTCGTCTTCTGTTTAGCTTTCTTGCTCTGTGCAGTGGGAAAGCGAAATATATATTACACAGATAAATGTACCGTATATACTAGAGTATAAGTCGACCCGAATATAAGTAGAGACCCCTAATTTTACCACAAAAAACTGGGAAAACATTGACTCGTGTATAAGACTAGGGTGGGAAATGCAGCAGCTACTGGTAAATTTCTATATAAAATTAGATCCCCCAAAAATTATATTAATTGAATATTTATTTACAGTGTGTGTATATAATGAATGCAGTGTGTGTATGTGTATGAATGCAATGTGTGTATGAGTGCAGTGTGTGTGTATGAGTGCAGTGTGTATGTGATGCAGAGCCTTGGTGGGGGGGTGGGCATTTTTTTTTTAATATTATTAATATTTTTATATTATTTACATTTTTATTTTATTGTTTTTGTCCCCCCTCCCTGCTTGTTAGCTGGCCAGGGAGGGGTGCTATATTATTCCATGGCGGTCCAGTGGTGTGTACTGTGCATGAGTGGGGCTGACAGCAAGCTGTTACTTACCTTTCCTGCAGCTCCTATCAGACTTCCATCATCCCTTCTCTCTCCTCCAGTCCGGTCAGCTCCCCTGTCAGCTCCCACTGTTAGTCTCGCGGTCTGAGTGCCGCGCGGAGTATTGCCACGGTAACCCGTGGCAACACTCTGACCCTGCGGCTCTCGCAAGACTTACAGTGGAGCTGACAGGGGAGCTGACCGGACCGGAGGAGAGAGAAGGGAGCTGACTGGAGCTGCAGGAAAGGTAAGTTAGAGCTCTCTGCCATCCCCCAACAGGACCGCCAGGCTTGTAATGAACCCGGCGGTCCTTGTCTGTATTTTGGCAGTGTAAGTTGCCATAATACAGACAGTGACTCAAGTATAAGACGAGTGGGGGGTTTTCAGCACACAAAATGTGCCGAAAAACTTGTCTTATACTCAAGTATATACGGTAATCATTTGTATATTTGCCAAGACCAATGTCATTTGGGTTATAATATACTAAAAGAATGGTTTAGTTTAATTTAATTTTTAAATGCATCACAAATAAACAGCATAGCAGACTTTAATGACCCAAACACATTTTATTTCCAATTAAACTGCACTTGTTAAAAGTGGTAATGTCACAATTCTCACCATAACATCCAGACACCCCAGAAGTGCCCAACAGAGGATTTGACCCTGGGGCCTTCTGCATCCTAAGCCTGAGCCACTTCTGAATTTTGGTTCTAACCTTGTTTTCCTGGCATTGCATTGCCTGCAGCACTAGGGGGCTGGACATTACCAGTGGCTACTACGTATAATCTAAGTTCACCTGAGGCAGTTCACTCATTAGCAGGGCAGAAAACACTGCCCCTCCCTGAGAACATTGTCCGTTTGTTGTTTCTTGTATCCGGTTTCCTAAGACTGACTTGGCTTGTGACCCTTTCTGTTTGGATTATTCGTTATTGCCTGTTCGCTGCCTGCCCTGACTTTTGGAACTGTGTCTGACTACTCTTCTGGATTTGCCCAGGTCTGTTTTCTCGTACCTGGTTACTGTTCCTGCCTAAGCCCTGTGCACAGATTCACAGCCCAGGTAGCTTCTGATCTGGTTACCATGGGCTGTGTTTATTTGTAAGGGTGAGCACAAATCTCTGCCTACCGGACTCCCAACTAAGGTAAGCCGTGACAGGTAGTCTCACTTGTAACAAAAAGATAGCAAGAGAGAAAATGTCTAAGGCTAAAGATTAGAGAGTGTAGGAAAAGGTGGCAAATCCAATAAAATGAGAAAAATAGCTCTAAAACGCTAATGGTCACCAATACTCATAAATAACGGAAAAGAGAAAAATGCCACTAAGGTACTATAGTGAACTATCCAGGAGCTTAATATACTCCCTTACAACTAAAAGCCAGCAACAATAATATGACATAACAAGAGAAGACACTATATAAAGTACAAATAATAGTCTCTTTTGTACCTGGACATTGGTACTGTCAGACAAAAGGATGCAAAAAAATCAGTGTGGCAGGTGATACATTGATACAGAGATAAGACAAGGTTTTGAGAATGCATCATTCCCTTTTGAGAAATTCTTACCTCTTCTTGCTTGCTCATAAAGTGCATATCCCATTTGTTGTCTAGTTTAACTGATGTAGGAGCTAAGGAACAGAAACATTAAGTTACACACTTAACAAAAAAAAACAGAAAAAAATGATTTTAATTTAAAACAAAATGTAATCCAGGTCTTTTTCTATAGAAATGAAGCATGCTTTATACACAAACCAGTTTATTGGCTCGATACTATCACGGTTACTTACTAAAGTATGAACTGACAGGAATTCAAAGTACCGTATATACTAGAGTATGAGCCGAGTTTGTCTGTATTATGGCAATTTACATTGCCATAATACAGACCAGGACCGCCGGGCTCATTACAAGCCCGGCGGTCCTGTTGGGGGCTGGCAGTGCGCTCTTACTTGCCTTCCTGCAGCTCCTGTCAGCTCCCTCCTCCTCCGTACAGCTCCTCTCTGTTCTGCTCACAGTGTAAGTCTCGCGAGAGCTTCTCGCGGGACTTACACTGTGAGCAGAACGGAGCTGACCGAGGAGCTGCACGGAGGAGGAGGGAGCTGACAGGAGCTGCAGGAAGGTAAGTAAGAGCTCACTGCCAGCTCCCCCACTGAACTGCCAATGCCACTGGACCACCAGGGATTCGATATTATTTTATTTTAATAATATTATTAAAATAATATATTAAAATAATAACATTATTTTATTATTATTATCATTATTATTAATATTTGCATTTTTTTTTTAATGGTTTTTTTGTCCCTCCTCCCTGCTTGTTGCCTGGCCAGGGAGGGGGGACAAAAAAAAATAAAAAAATAATGCAAATATTAATATAATAATAATATAGTAATATTATATTATTTTAATAACAATATTTTATTATTTTAATATTTGCATTATTTTATTTTAAAAAATTTTTTGTCACCCCTCCCTGGCCAGGCAACAAGCAGGGAGGGGGGACAAAAAAAACATTTAAAAAAAATAATGCAAATATTAATAATAATAGTAATATTATTTTAATAACTATTTTATTATTATATTATTATTTTAATATTTGCATTATTTTATTTTAAATGTTTTTTTTTCCCTCCCTCCCTGGCCAGGCAACAAGCAGGGAGGGGGGACAAAAAAAAAACATTAAAAAAAAAATGCAAATATTAAAATAATAATATAATATTATTAAAATATAATAAAATAAAAAAATAAAAATGCCCTCCCCTCACCCAGTTTACATACACACACTTCATTATATACACACTGCATTCATTCTATCCACACACAAACGCACACACTGCATTCATTCTATCCACACACAAACGCACACACTGCATTCATTCTATCCACACACAAACGCACACACTGCATTCATTCTATCCACACACACAAACGCACACACTGCATTCATTCTATACACACACACAAACGCACACACTGCATTCATTCTATACACACACTCTGCATTCATTCTATACACACACTCTGCATTCATTCTATACACACACTGTAAATAAATATTCAATTAATGTAATTTTATTGGGATCTAATTTTATTTAGAAACTTACCAGTAGCTGCTGCATTTCCCACCCTAGGCTTATACTCGAGTCAAAAAGTTTTCCCAGTTTTTTGTGGTAAAATTAGGGGCCTCGGCTTATATTCGGGTCGGCTTATACTCGAGTATATACGGTAAATTTCAAAACTAAGGCCGACATAGCTGAATTAGAAAACAAAATCTCAACTCTGTTTTCAGTTTGACTACTTTGACTTTAAATTTGAAATTCATGTTGGAATATTTTTTAATTCCTAACAATTCTCACATTAGTGAATAAACCTGGGTGTTAGTGTGCATTTTTCTATTACAGTTGTATGTTACTATTTTTCAGATATATATTTTTTTGATGTGCATGTGAAAATACAAATATTGCACACTATACAAATATAACGAAGAATAGATTTGTCAGATATAGACAGTTGTATATAGAATTCAGCACATTTTTATGATGAGACTAGCATCGTGCATATTTAAGAAGACATAGCAATAAGGTTTGAGTAAATGGTGGGATAGGCAAGTGATAAACCACCAGGTTGTGACAACTTTTGCTTTGGCATAGTAAGTGACACTAGAGTGACACAATTAGTTGCAATATAGACTCAGAAAGCAAAGTGAAAACTATAGCTAAAATGTCTATCTTTACGCTTGGTAAGCTGTAACTGTGGGGATAGACTGAAAGTCAGACATTTAAGCCAATATTACAGGTATGCCTTACTTGTGGGCAGATCTGTCTTTCAGGCACCAATCACCTTCATTTTTATAGTTAATGAATTCTGTATGTTATTTTGTGCTAGGAAGATACAGGCATACGTGAAGTGCCACAGCAGCACACACTGAGTAAGTAACCATCGCTCGATTTAGCACTTGGAATCTGCTCATTGTGTAATTTTGTTAAAACAAGCTAGGTATAATTGTAGGTAACCTAGAAACATAGAATGTGACGGCAGATAAGAACCATCTAGTCTGCCCAATTTTCTAAATACTTTCATTAGTCCCTAGTCTTATCTTATAGCTAGGATAGCCTTATGCCTATCCCACGCATGCTTAAACTCCTTTACTGTGTTAACCTCTACCACTTCAGCTGGAAGGCTATTCCATGCATCCACTACCCTCTCAGTAAAGTAATACTTCCTGATATTATTTTTAAACCTTTGTCCCTCTAATTTAAGACTATGTCCTCTTGTTGTGGTAGTTTTTCTTCTTTTAAATATAGTCTCCTCCTTTACTGTGTTGATTCCCTTTATATATTTAAATGTTTCTATCATATCCCCCCTGTCTCGTCTTTCCTCCAAGCTATACATGTTAAGATCCTTTCCTGGTAAGTTTTATCCCGCAATCCATGAACCAGTTTAGTAGCCCTTCTCTGAACCCTCTCTAAGGTATCAATATCCTTCTAAAGATACGGTTTCCAGTACTGTGTACAATACTCCAAGTGAGGTCTCACCAGTGTTCTGTACAATGGCATGAGCACTTCCCTCTTTCTACTGCTAATACCTCTCCCTATGCAACCAAGCATTCTGCTAGCATTTCCTGCTGCTCTATTACATTGTCTGCCTACCTTTAAGCCATCAGAAATAATCACCCCTAAATCCCTTTCCTCATATGTTGAGGTTAGGACTCTCAAATATTCTGTACTCTGCCCTTGGGTTTTTACGTCCAAGATGCATTATCTTGCACTTATCCACATTAAATGTCAGTTGCCACAATTCTGACCATTTTTCTAGTTTACCTAAATCATTTGTCATTTGGCTTATCCCTCCTGGAACATCAACCCTGTTACATATCTTAGTATCATCAGCAAAAAGACATACCTTACCATCAAGACCTTCTGCAATATCACTAATAAAAATATTAAAGAGAATGGGTCCAAGTACAGATCCCTGAGGTACCCCACTGGTGACAAGTCCAAGCTTCGAATATATTCCATTAACTACAACCCTCTGTTGCCTGTCACTCAGCCACTGCCTTACCCATTCAACAATATTGGAATCCAAACTTAAAGATTGCAGTTTATTGATAAGCCTTCTATGTGCAACAGTGTCAAAAGCCTTACTGAAATCTAGGTAAGCAATGTCTACTGCACCACCCTGATCTATAATTTTAGTTACCCAATCAAAAAAATCAATAAGATTAGTTTGGCATGATCTCCCTGAAGTAAACCCATGTTGTCTCTGATCTTGAAATCCATGTGTTTTTAGATGTTCATCAATCCTATCCTTTAACATGGTTTCCATCACTTTCCCCACTACTGAAGTAAGGCTTACTGGCCTATAGTTGCCCGACTCCTCCCTATTACCTTTCTTGTAAATGGGCACAACATTCGCTAACTTCCAATCTTCTGGGACTACTCCTGTTAACAATGATTGGTTAAATAAATCTGTTAATGGTTTTGCTAGTACACCACTAAGCTCTTTTAATAGCTTTGGGTGTATTCCATCAGGTCCCATTGACTTATTTGTCTTTACTTTTGACAGTTGAAATAGAACTTCTTCCTCTGTAAACTCACGTGTAATAAATGTCTCATTTATCCTTTTTCTCAACTGAGCTCCCTTTCCTTAATTTTCATCTGTAAATACAGAACAAAAATATTCATTGAGGCAGTCAGCTAGACCTTTATCCTCTTCTACATACCTTCCTTCTTTTGTTTTTAATCTAACTAATCCTTGTTTTACTTGTTTTATGTAGCAGTGAGATATGTATGTAGCAGTGAGATGATATGGCAAACACATGTCAATATTTTGTAATGAGACAGTAGATTAAGTGTTAGCTGGTCTAGCCGACATCAGAACCGTGTCTGCATATTAGGTTAAGGTAGGTAACTACAGGTAGCTGGTAACCCCAACAGGCATATAGAGCTATCACATGCATCTCTATGTAAGTGGCTGGGTTGCAGACTGTTCCTGTACGTCTGAGTGTTAGCTGGTTTAAAAGCTGTTACTGTGGAGACAATAGTGTGTTAGAGCGTCTAGGCAATGCTAAACATGTGTAAGTCCTGATTAATGGTGTGTAATGTGGACAGCAATACATATTTTCCTAAGTGGGGCACTATTGAGCTTAGGTTGGTGCTTGTATATATTAATCGTGAGTATGCCCTAGCTGTTTGTCGCCTGGTGTGGGTAGGTACATTAATTTGTGCTAGTGGGTAGGCTAGTAACCGTACCGTTGAGGACAACATTTTGAGTATACAAGTCTACATGCTCTGCAGGAAACAAAACCTTTTAAACACGGGTTAATAACTGCAACTGTACACTTATCCAGAGTGGCATGGTATCTGTCATGCGTCCAGTCACGGGACTTTAAGTGGAGCAACGCTCAAAATAGGTAGGGTCCGGCGGCAGCTCTGTCAGGCAGTCCTTTCCGCCAGAGTCCCTTTAGCTCCCTCCAGTCCCCAGGTGCCTGATGGGTGTTTGGCAGCCCTCTGGGCTTTGAAGGTAGTGGAAGCTGAGGCACCGGGGTTGGCTGGTTGAAACGGTTTAACTGCGGTCATATCCCAAACGTGGGGGGGTCGGTGGTCTCCGTGCTGGGGTTGTTTGTTCCGGTCCCGGTGGCAAGTCCAGTGCCAACAGTACTGAGTCCATTTTGGATGGGTCAGTTATGCGGGTCGTGGCTCCCCCGTGCGTGATGACTAGACTTCTGGGGAATGCCCAGCAATAAGGTATGACGGAGTGTTGCTGTCAGGGGTTTGAAAAGTCCCCTCCAGGTTAAAGTAGGCTTGGATAGGTCCTGGTAAAATGATAAATTGGCCTGGTAAAATGATAAATTGGCCGAGGTGAGTGGTTTTCCCCCTCACTGCCGCCATGATGTTTCTTTGGGCTGATCGCGTTTGGAGTTGGAGTATGACATCTCTCGAGGTGCCCGCTGGGGCTTTGGCTGCTCTTGGAATTCGGTAGACCACTTCTATCGCGGCTGCCGTCACTTGCTGTGGTGTAAGTAAGGTGGCGAGGAGTCTCTCAACAAAGTGTGGGAGGTCATCTTGTGACAGTCTCTGGGATGCCTCATATATTTATGTTCCGGCTCCTGTGCCAGTCCTCCACTGCATCTAGGCGGTCTGTAAGAAGGATCTGGCTGCGCCGGAGCTCTGTGTTGTGAGCTTCCAGTTGTATACATCTGGCGGTTAGGCCTTGCGTGTCCTCCTCTGTCCTCTTAACTCGCCCCTCCACTGTGTGTATCTCCTCCCCCAGTGTTGCTATGTCTGCCGCGAACACCGTGCGGATGTGGCGGAGTAGGTCTCTTATATCGCCCTTAGTGGAGGGTAGGTTGTTTTCTTCGTCCGAGGAGGCGCTGTGTAATCCCCCTGTGCTGGGGAACTCGTCCAGTTCATCTAGAGCCTGCTCCCCCGAGGAGGCTGAGGTCGTGTCACCATTATATTTTGGCGCGAAGGCTTCTGCGGCCTTTGCAGGACTGAGGAGAAGGTCTCCAATGTCGCGGGCTCCCGTTGGCTTTGATGCCTTCTGGTGCTTGCGTTTCTTTCCCATCATGTGTTGTTGTATTGCTGGTTAAGATTAGTAGGCTTTTGGGTGAGAATTTAGCTTTTAGCAGGCTTATTTTGGCGGAGCTCTCCTGGGCCACGTCTGCTTCAGTTGGCTGCTAGCTCCGCCCCCGCATATTTTTTTTTATTTCCCCCAAATATCCACAGTTACATGACATCTAGCTAAAGGGATTATATTATGAATACCCTTCCATAACAGCTCCGAGTATCTCTTGAAAGTGTGAGTGTATTTCACATTAAGATGATAGTAATGATTCTACCTATTGGAAGTTGAAATGTGGAACAATATAGTAGAATACATTTTAGAGTTTCTATGAATTAAGTTGTATACATAAACAAAGGGTGTTATGTATAAAATGTGTTGAGTTTACCTACTTTGTATTTTTTTCCCCAAAACTTTTCAATTTGCATCTATTTCTTTATTTGCCCCAAAAAACTAATTGCTGTGCCTTATCGGTCACTTAATGTTCTTGTTGTAATTGTATTCTTTTTTGAGTTCACATATTTGTTGCTTCCAGTACACTTGATGCTTCCAACTCTCAACAATATACAACATGCTGCTTTAGCTTACTTCCTACAGAATTTTCAATAGCCTCCTCTGCCTTCTGAATCCCCAGGCGGAATTCTTGCAGCTCGGGACGCAGTTTGAATCCTCTGTGGTAATACACAAGGGCAAATTCAAAATCTCCCATTGCATAGAGCGCCTCTGCCTTCTGGTAAAGACCCTGCAAGCAAAACCAATGGAATTATTGCATAATTTGGGAACGCTGATCTCTATTTCATAGGCAATATAAGTAAAATAAAGAGGAGGGAGCTTAGCAATTTGAAACCTCAACAATGGAAGCATTTTTCCTATGTACAAATCTTACCCTGAAGAAATTGCACTCATCACGTAAGGAAGCCTCTGCGTCTTGTAGGGCAGATTCTGAATCTCCAAGTTTTAAGTAACATTTTGAGCGAGCAACAAGGCAGTTCTTCTCAGAGGGCTGAAGAAGTAAAGCCTAAAAATGAGGTAAACAGAGTTAAGATGTCACTTGCTCTAAAACCATATAGTTGTTTTTATATTGGCACTTCTGGCACCTTTTCCAATATGGTATTTAATGGTGGAGTTATTGGAAGATGTCAGGGGAAAAAAGTTGCTAAATCACCCCTTTTACATTTTTGTACTACTTTTTGGAACAAAGCACTTTGATAAATCTCCCCCATTGTGTCTGTTTAATCCATTATTCACCTTAAATAAAGCACCCATGGTTTATGTGAAAAGACACACTAACTCAGATTTACTCATTAAATTCCAAATTGCCGTAAACTGGGGAAAAAAAGTGCTGGTTTGAAAAAGAAGAGTTTTATATGTCATCCTTCCAGCAGTTTACAGGAAACAAATTTTTATGTCAAATGACAGTTTGAAGCACTCTTTATAAAATTCTAACTTATTGCACACAGGTGCTGGCAATTGTTCAAGCATTGATGTCTTCAGCACCAAAATCACAGATACATTTGGCAATTACTAGTGAATCAGACTATAGTTACTTTTTAAAAATGGATAAGCCAAGTGGGGTAAAATCCAGGGCTGGCTAAGCAACACATGACTTGTAGTTCAATTTAACTAAAGCTTTTATGAACCTTCTTATTCTGAAGTGGATTACGATTTTTCGGAATTTTTCAGATATTATTGTACTACACAACAGTTTTCATTGAGTTCGAAAATATTCTGGATGCTGTCAAATGTTCTGACGGCTGCTATTTGATACAGTTGATGGCAGATTTAGTTTACACGACCCCAGCACCTATATTATGTATTTTTACTCTTAAAACGTATATATGACTTGTAAAATTATCCACTAAGGTAACACAGAGTTCAATCACACTTTTAACCCTCTGAACAGTCAAGGCTTGGGTTAATTACCTATATAGGAAGACTTGCCTAGGATGCCATAAATCGATGCACATACTAGCTCTGAGAACCCTATTTCCAATGGCACTTAACATGTTGATCCCATTGCTCAATCCTACTGGACAAGTAATGGCTAGTGCTAGTGCTTTGGCACTTCATTTATTGTGGACTACACTTTCCAAGGCTGGCTACGCATAATTGGAATTGCAGTCCATAACAGCTGAGGTGCCATAGAAACCATCAGTCTCTTTCATGATTATCATCTCACATTGCTGAAGCTTTCCACGGCTTTTTCGTACTCTCCCTTCTGGAAAAGCTGCTCGCCTTCGGCCATGTATGTGGTGAAGGAGCTTCGGGGTCCCTGCTCCCCATCTATTTCTTCAGCCATGGTATTTTCTGTTCTATGGGAGAAAACTGACTTTGCCTTCGCTGCGATGGATACCAGCAGCGTGCTTGGTTTCCTAGCAATTAAAGCACCAACACAAGTCACTTCCGGATGTTTGGTGTATCCGGGAAACCTTGTAGTGCTTGTCACTTTTTGAAATTAGGGATATGAGGGGTTAACATTGCCAAGTGTCCCGAATTTGCTGGGCAATCCCTTGTTTTGGGCTCCTGTTTAGCATATCGATTAATGGGTCAATAGTACCACTAGGCAAAAATACCACTTAGTAAATAAAACTGCAACAAAAATATAGTTCGTCACTTTTAAACGAGTGGAATGTCTGGGTTAATGCAAATTGTATGTAATCATTCAGTTTATTATGGAAACAACAAATAGTGGAATAATTTATAATTTCCATACAGTTGACCTGTTTTGTACAACATGTATGTGAGCATAGGGTGACAACACTGATTGTTTTATCAAGGACAGTTGTAAAAAGATGCATATTTAAAAATATAAAATAAATGCATACTTTGTAGTATTCAAAGAGGCAGGGTTGGAACAAGCATAGTTATGCTTTTTTATTATTTTTATTTTTAACTGCTTACCCCCCACAAACACACTAAATGCACTACATACATGGCATCCATTACACAAACACAGACACTGCATCTACTATACACTACATATACAGCATACCTTAAGATCGCTTAGGGACCTTTTTTCCCACACCTTGCTGGTCTTGCCGCTGCTGGCCCTGCCTCCATGGCTGAGATAATCAAACTTAATGACTTCAGTCCAATCCAATGCTTTTCCATTGGAAAGCATTGAGAGCCTGTTGCACATACGCTGCAAAACGCATTGCTGCGCCAATCAGCATTTCTTCACAGAGGTGCATTGAATCAATGAATCTCTATGGGGAACATTCATAGTTTCCATGCAGAGCGTGGAAGTACCTCTAGTGGCCATCTCAGTGAATTCACTTTACCACTGGCATTGAATACCTTGTTGTGTGTTTGCTAGGAGCCTTTGTAGTAGGTTTAGTGAGTGGATAGAGAGGAGACTTTATTATAAGAGGTACAACCACTCTCTTTCTATTTCTTGTGTTGAACGCCTAAGCATATCCTTATTCACTATCCCAATTTGTCCTTTACCCTCATTTCTAGGCAATTTTTCGCTGTGGTAGACATAATTTGACTGTTTAGTTAGTTATCCCCCATACCCTCTTTTATCTCTGTATCTACAGTTATACACCACCTGAATGCCCTGAGGAATTTAAGCATTCAGAGATAATGCACTGTTAAGGGGCCACCAAGGGGTAACTGTTAGTCGCTTCCATAGACGATTACTTTTGCTCCTGAGCTTGGTTACTATGGACTCTAATGTCTCTTTTTATGTTTCATTGCAATAAAGTTTACTTGTTATTTTGGATACTCTGTCCCTGGTCAGCCTTGCTGAAGCATACATGTGCTTATCCTACCAAGTTTTTGTATATACATTAGTTAGCGTCTCATTATTTCCTATTTTGATACCAGCCAGGGATCCCTCACCTATTTTTGGGGGTTCCTTTATCTTACTTAATATATTTATCTAAGGGTTTATCTGGTTCCACCCACACGGACCACTTTGTTGCAGTCCGAATTTATTTTGGACTTAGCGACTTTGTTTTTTATTTTTTACACTACATAGTTACATAGGCTGAAAAGAGACATGTGTCCAAGTTCAGCCTTCCTCACGTTTGTTTTTTGCTGTTGATCCAAAAGAAGGCAAAAAAAATCCAGTGTGAAGCACTTCCAATTTTGCAACAAACTATGAAAAAATTCAATCTTGACCCCAGAATGGCAGTCAGATTTATCCTTGGATCAAAAAGCTATTACCCTACATTGAAAAATTATATCCTTGAATATTCTGTTTTTGCAAGTATGCATCTAGTTGCTGTTTGAACATCTGTAAGGACTCTGATAAAACCACTCCTTAAAGCAGAGAATTCCAAATCCTTATAGTTTCCGTTGCAATAGACTAAATTTTCTTTCTTCTAGTCTAAACATATGACCTCATGTCCTATGTAAAGTCCTGTTTGTGAATATATTTCCACACAATGGTTTGTACTGGCCCCAGATATATTTGTATAATGTTATCATATCGCCTTTGTGGCTGTGTTTTTCTAAACTAAAGAGGTTTAAATTTGTTAACCTTTCTTCATAGCTAAAATGTTCCATTCCTCTTATTAATTTTGTAGCCCGCTTCTGCACTCTAGTGCCATGATATCCTTTATAAAGAAGCAAAATGATATTCTCACCCCGAGAATTAATTTTTCATGCCTGACAATACCTTACTGGCCTTCAGCCACTGCTGATTGACATTGCACATTGTTGCATAGTGTCACGCCGCCCACTGGATCCGCTCCTGCCAGAGAGCGGTATGGGTCCCGGCAGGCACGCATTGTTGTGGCAGCATTTCCACACGTCAAGGGGAATGCTGCTGGATTCTTACCTGTCCTGCAGACACCTGCCGGGTCTGCTCATACCCGAGCACATATCGGTCTGGCGGCATTTCCAAGTGGTTATGGGAATGCTGCCTATCTCTCACCTGAACTCCTGGTAGTAGCTCCTCCCTCTCACAGCGGCCGGGTCTGCAATCATTAGAGACGCCAGCCGCTGCAGCTTTGATGATTTTAAGGGTTTGCAATTTAACCCTTAAAGTGCCATTTCATTTTAAACGTGTAGGTGTGTCACACACACGATCACATGCTTCCCTGCAGCCAATCAGGGAGCACCTTAGACTATATAAACCTTTTTTGTCCATTTCTCTGTGCCCTGTCATGGTTTCCATTGTGGTTATCTGAGAGCGAGTTTCTGGTATTGATTCTAGTGTATTTGACCTTGGCTCTCCTGACTATCCGATCTCTGTATTCCTTGACCATTGGCTTGTTCATTGTTTCCATGATTTCTGCATTCTTGTCATTATCTTGTCTTGTGGTTTTTTTTCCCTTTATACGTTAAATCCGGCCATTCTAAGGCCAGGTAATACGTCTTGGGATTTTCCTTGATATTTACTTAAGTTCTGCGTGTTGGGCATCAGCTATTCCTGACATTACGACAGGGCCATGGACCCTGCAGACTTAAGTAGATAGGTGATATCTTGAAAGGCTAAGCTGCAAGAACATGATCACCACATGGATCAGTTTGCCTAGGCCTTTCAGACCTTGTTGGCTCGCACTGCGCACACCTCCAATCGGAGACACCCTCTGCCCAGGCTCCACAACATGCCGCTGTGGCAGTTTCCAGTGGTCAAAGGGCTCAGACTATAAGCATATCCCCTCCGCCTAGATTCAGTGGTGATTCCCAGGAGTGTAGGGGTTTTATAAATCAGATATAAGGCTCTTTACCTTCTGACAGGGCTAAGATCGCATACTTAATGAACCAACTATCTGGTAAAACTCTAGCTTGGTCTAATCCCTTATAAGAGAGTGGTAGGACTGTAGCTTACAACTACATAGAATTCATCACTGAATTAAAAAGATTTTTTTGAACCTCTTGGGAAAGCTAAGAAGGCAGCCAAGGCATTAATGCGGATAACACAGGGCAACAGATCCATTGTGGTTTACGCCATAGAATTCCACACGCTGGTGGCCGAGGTAGATTGGACAAACAGCGATTTGGTAACTTCTTTTTCAGAAGGGCTCTCTGAGACTTTATTAGATAAAACAGCAGCTAAAGGTCTCCCGGATTTGCTGGAGGATTATATAGTATATATGATTGATATAGATAACTGCCTTAGGAAGAGGGCTAAAACTAAGATACGGATTACCCGTACCCCTGTTTCCCCAGCTCCTCGTTTGACTCCATCAGCTCCTGCAGTTGCTATCGAATCTGAACTTATGCAACTTGGAGTGATGAAGCTCTCGGAAGCTGAGAAAAAATACAGTAGGGCTGAGGGTTTATTGTGGTATTGTGGTAAAAAGGGGCATCTGCGTCTAAATTGCCCAATACGTGCGGAAAACCTCTGCACCTAAGCACTGTTAGAGGACCGGCCTTAGGTGTTATGAAATCGTCCTCTACCTTGCCTCACAACAGATTCCTCCTCTCAGTAGTACTATCTTGGGGTGTTCATAACATTCCGTGTAAGGCTCTTGTCGATTCAGGAGCTGCTGAAATCTTTGACAAAAAATTTGTGAATGACTTTCTTGTCCCCTTGAGAGAGAGATCCAGACCTTTTGGCCGTTGAGGTCATAGATGGTAGACCCCTCCAGACACCTCTTTTTACCCATGAGACCATTCCGTTATCCTTGTCCGTTGGAATACTGCATGGAGAAAATATAGCTCTACAGGTTATTTCAACCCTTTCATGTCCTGTCATTCTTGGATTTCCCTGGTTGGTGAAGCATAATCTGGTGTTGGATTGGGTTAAGGGTGAGATTCAATCATGGGGTGCTACCTGCAAAAAACAATGTTTTCTCTCAGTAAAACCTATAGGTCGTATCAACGTACCTACTACTGCTCCCTTATCCACAGTGGTTCCTCTGCAATACATCCACGTTAAGGAAGTATTTAACAAAATCAATGCTGTGATGTTACACCCACACCGACCTTATGACTGTGCCATTGACCTCCTTGCAAGCACTATGCCACCTAGAGGACAGGTGTACCCTCTATCCCCCATGAGAGTGAAATCATGGAAGAGTATATCCAGGATTCTCTTGCCAGGGTTTCATATGTAGATCTTCCTCTCCTGCAGGTGCAGGATTTTTCTTTGTCTAAGAAAGAGGGAGATCTACGACCGTGCATTGATTACAGAGGCCTTAACAAGATTACTATAAGGAACATCTATCCAATTCCTCTTATCACTGAACTGTTTGATAGACTTAAGGGGACCACTGTGTTAACTAAATTAGACATTAGGAGTGCATACAATCTGGTCAGGATAAAGGAAAATCATGAATGGAAAACTGCGTTTAACACAAGGAGTGGACATTACGAATATCTCGTAATGCCTTTTGGATTGTG